ATATATATATATGCGTGTGTATATATACATATATGTATAGCAATCCTCGGCTTGAGCCATGAAGAGCAAGAGTCGTTTGACAACCTAAGCCTTGAGAATCAGCACCCCATCAGAATCCCAATGTTGTTGTGCGGCCGTGTTCACCAAAGGTCCCTCACCCCCTGAATCCCAGCCTCAACCCAACACCCTTTTCATACACTGCTTTCAACCCCAAAAGCCCATCGTAAATCAAGAGTATCTCTTAGGTGGACCCCCCACCCAGTAACAGTGACTATAAAGGATAATGGTAATTATGTTAGGGTCCTCTTATAGTCCCATTATACCACTATTACAGGGTGGGGGGTCCTCCTCACTCCTAAAGTATCTCCTTGGTGAGGACTACGAGTTCATCGACTTTGTAGCTGACAAGGCTGCCCGGGGCGGGTTGGGCTCATGTGGGATCAGTTTGGGATTATACATAATACTGTTGATGGATGAAATCTTGCACCACCTAGGGGCCCTGAAGTACTGTAATTCCTAGGACTTCAGGGATTTAAGGTGGTGCAAGAGTTCCTCCATCAACAGTATGTAGTTGCAAGGAGCCTATAGTTCTTCTGCAGGGAATATGCGGGGATTCTATGGAAGGGGCATTTAATTTAAGCTTCCTGTCTTTCAGGTTGCGAAATGGTTGGGCTTTTTCAGACCTTTCAACATCCTTGAAGTCAGGGAATGTCGCTTGATCACAGAAGCACCTTGTTTTCTTGGAGCGCGCGATGGGCGTGGGCACCCAGAGGGGCTAATCAGCCCATTGGCCCCTTGGTGGAGCCGCGTCATCATTCCTGAACCTCCTAGACTCCACAACCCAACCCGAAAGCCTTTAAAACCCCAAGAGCCAAAAACCCTGGAACACTCCTACTTCTGGGGCCCCTACGGACACAGGTGCCGGAGCTTCAGGTCGAGCGAGGTGCCGGTATCAGCCCGCCTGGCCTGATTTGAGGGCCTTGGGTTCAGAAGGGAGAGTGTGCTGTCCGAGCGTGAAGAGAAGTTGATGGGGGGCCCCTATGGTTTATATAAATGATGCCCACATGTGACGAGACGGCTTTTAGGGTGTCATCGTGATTGAGGGTGTTCAGGGTTTGGGCTTTTAAAGGATTACGGCTTCGCGGGGCCCTTACAGACCTCATAATGCAACCCTATTGTCCTAATGCGAGCTCTTCCTTTGCCTTATATGAGAGGTACTCACGTGACAGGTGGCAAGCTAAACCTGCCTACCATGTCAGTGAAGCTCAAAGATGCTTCTCCAGAACCCCATGAGCCATAGTCTAAACTCCNNGTTTAGACTATGGCTCACATATTCTCCTTGTACTCTTAGCAGCCAGCAGTCCAAAAACATTTCTCGCCTGGGGGAGCATAGGAGCCATCGTTTACAAGCGTGGGCAAGCCCAAACCATATTCTCTGGCTGCTGGGCGAAAAGCCGGAAGCTCCGATACCCAAAGGCTGAGAGCTTCGCCTTGGAACTGATAAGATACTCAGAGCTAAGAACCTGTTGGTGGAAAGACCCTAGCATCAAGTGACTGTTCTATGAAACTGAATCGTATTCCCATTCCCCTGAAACCTTACTCCTAAGTTTATATGAGCTATAGTCTAA